GCGCGATGCTAAACTTGCGTCAAACTCTTTGGTTTCTCCATGCTTTACCTTCAATGAATAATAGAAAAACGTTATCTCTCTTAGGCTGACAAGCTACAATCTATTCAATTTGGTCATAAAGAAATCATCGGATTCATTGGCACACTTACAAGCCTCACAATCAACTACTGCATAATATTCTCTATATATTAAATGAGGAGACATTAACAAAAAAAAAATCATAGGTGTCAAGCAAAAATAAATTTAAAGGACACATGAATTAAATTAACCAATCAACATATTTCAATTAAGTCTATATACAATGTTTTTAACCTCTACATATTTACATTAATTTTTTAACATGAACTCACAAATACATGTGTTACAAATTTAAGTCCAACTAAAATGTAATATGTTAATATTTTAAAATGTTATAGAAATAATTTTTTAACGATGAATCATTTACCAATTTCAAATAGTTAATAAAATTGTATTAATGTCTATTTGGATATCATATGTGATTGATCATACAATTATTTTATTTTATATTGGCTAACTGTATCCATATTATTCTAATTAAAGTTACGCTTTTGTTATAAACATACAACTTTACAAATCAAACATTAATGCGGTATTTTTACATTCTATTTGAAAGTATTTTTACATTCTTAATTATTTCTTTGATTTTTATTTGAAAGTATTTTTACATTCTAACGCGATATTTTTTTGTTTTTGGTGAACTCAAACAAATTTGAGAGAATTCATAATCTCAAATATATTGGATTTATATTAAAAAGCTTACATTAAATTTTGTAAGATAAAATATACTCCCTCCGTTTCAAAATGTAAGTTGTTTTCGCTAGTTTTTTTTGTTTCAAAATGTAAGTTGTTTTGACAATACTAGATATTTTTTAACTTTATTGAATATTGTGTGACCAATAATATTTTGCAGTCATTTATATGATTGGTCAAATTATTTATATTAGATATATTAAATGATACATATTAGTAGAAAAATAGTTTCTTAAATATGCGTGTTTTAAGTAAAAGCACTTATATTTTGAAACAGAGTGAGTATTTATCTATATGAAAGATTTACCATTTAATATTTGTTGTCTCTACTTTTTCTGGCATGTTATAAAATTTTATGAATTTTTGTTTTTGAATATTCTAATTATTTGTTTGAGGCTAGTATAAAATTTAGTTGAGCAGAGCTTCAAGTCTAAGAAGTGAACGACCTAGGCTTGGTTTGAATCTCCTCCAAGCTTGGTTCTCAACAGAATCCTCTCACTTATCTGCTCGCCATGCATCTACCTCCCTTACCTTCGACAACCCTAATTCTGATTTCAACCTCCGTTTGATCATTCATTCATGGAGTTCGTTGGATCTAGTTTATGATTAACTAGCCCCGTCCGTTTACAACTAGACCACTAAAACAGGTTCGTTTATCTTTATTCACTAAATCTTCAATGAGTTTTAATGATTGGGTTTAAAAGCCCTACAACTTTTTTCTATTTTCATATGCAATTTCAATATAAAAATGTTTTTTATATAAAAAAATAATTTTATTGCTCATCCAAATATGTTAGGTTTTTATTTGCTTTATTGAATTCATCTTTCCAA